GAAGAGGAGGGGGAGGGAGGGTCATAGACCAGCACTTCCCAGGTAACTATACTTGGTCCGGGTGGCCCTGGGGTCCAGGATCCATGACTTTCTCTTTCACCTGGAAAATAATTTGAGAGTTAAAGGTGCCATCTCGTGGCCAGCCAACATCAAAAGTTGGCCATTCAGAAGAGCAAAAGGTGATCCATTGCTTCTTGCGCGCATCGACAGTCCGGTTACGAGCATCTCGAGAGCGATGACAAACGACATTCAGACGGACGAACAGATAAGAAACAAAAACAGATTTTCGCTGCGCGGCTTTGACGAAAGTCAAAAGCAAATTCAGATCGGGGACGGGGGCCTTGTGCTCCCGTCCTTGTCCCCTATCAGGATGGAAACTCCCTCGGCCAGCGGGACTTCCCCAAACAGACGGGGCAGATTCCTAGGCATCTACCCCAAACAACCGAGTCCCTAAGAACTCCAGCTCCAGATACAGACCTACCCCAAACAGACGAGTTCCTAAGAACTCCAGACGGGGCAGATGGACATCTGCCCCAAACAGACGGGGCCCCAAACAGACGAGTTCCCTAAGAACTCCAGACGGGGCAGATGGACATCTGCCCCAAACAGACGGGGCCCCAAACAGACGAGGCAGATCGTGTCCTAGAGCTGCGGTCGGTGCCACCAGATACAGATGTATACAGCTGTATATTACAGACGCAGGCGCGATAAAACAACAGGCATAGACAGACAGACAGCAGACAACAGAAACAACAGAAATTTAGTCCGGACAATTCTTACCTCCCAGAAGTGGGTCGGTGGTCCCTGGGCGGGGTCTCAATTCCCGGCCAATGCACCAAATGAAAGACCCCAAGCAGGGGACTTTCACGGGAGGGAGACCCGAACCCAAGGAACACCGAGACCACGAGCTTGGATGCAACAGCAAGAGGCTTTATTGATAATACACGGGTACCCGGGGCATCTCAGTCTCGGGAACTGAGAGCCCCGAGCTGGGGACTCAGGGGTCCTTTTATAGCAAAAAGCGGAGTACAGAAGCAAGAAGCCTAGTTACAGGACCCTGATTGGACAATGAGGCCGGGGCTCACAGAATGAGGGCTATTGAGGTTTCTCTCAGAACTCAAGTCTCGGCCTTGGCCCTATCTGAGGAACAATAGGAGGTCTCTGTGCTTGCCCAGTCTTGCTGGGCTGGCTATGCGGACGCTATGCAGATAGCAGACACCTGTGTCCTGCCTGGACAGAGATAGTAGTGACTATTCAGCTGTAAAGACCTTGAGCTGAGCTTCTTTCTGATCAGAAAATGACTATTCGGCTGAGCTGTGGGGGAAAGGAATTTTCCATAGGCCTCAGCCACCTGTGCTGGGCCGGGGTCTTTCAGTTAGTCACTTAGTGGCCGTGCTTTCCTGTACTTTATCAGTATTGCAGTGCTTGTGTGAGACCAACCCTTAGACTGGTGAGCAACTTAAAGCTTACTGATCACTTCTTTCTAGAATACTCCATGTTCTGAGAAAAAGAAAACCTTTCACAAAGGAGGACAACTCTATTGGGTACTAATTCATACCCGATGGATCAAGTGTTAGGGGATCCCATAGGAGAGGGACTACCTGAGGTCCCTTCCATTTCTGTCTGAGATGTGCCCAGTGGCATCCTAAACCTTACACATCTGTGTCAGGGGATACACAGACCATGTGGCCTTTGATATTTGCTTAAGGACTTCTGTTAAAGCTGTCAACGCAAATTTCTTTTTAAAAGTCTTTGGATTTTGTTTGTCCGTGTGTGACACTCATCTTCTGCAGTGGGCCTATAGTCTAAGCAAGGAGGTTTTGATAGATAGAGGAGGGTCTTTGATGATGACACCCCTTCTCTTGCTCTTTAGCCCGGGGGATTGGCAGTGACTATCTCTGTGTTGTTTCACCACTGACTACTCTAGTCCTCCCCACTAAGTAGCCCCAAATTAAAGGGCATTATTTGTTCATCGCCGGGATCTAGAAGGAGTCCAGCTTTGGATCTATTTAGTATGCTGGACCAGCACCACTTTTTGAGAGTTCTGCTCTTTTCAAAGCAAGTAAGCCACATTCTTATTTTCATAGGAGAGTGTCATTTTAAAAAGCAATCATCTTTATTTTGTTCTGACGAATAACTAGTGTCTCACCTCTTCATGCTTTTCTAAACACTGTCACCTTTGTGTGGCATGTGGGAAACCCTTCGCCCATCAAGTCTAAGATCCTCTGAGAAGCCCCCCTTGGCCCTTCCAGACAGATGAGGCTGTATGTTCACATGTCTTGTGTGTGTGCTTCTTTAGGATGCTCCTTAGTCCTGCTGTCGCTGCAGACAGGAAAAAGTAAAAAGATGCTCTTCAACGCAACGAGGGAGGTGGTCAGAGAAAATGCAGGGCATGCGGTTACACCTGACTTTTCATAAGCAATAAGGAATTCTTAGTATATCCCACATAGTATTTGGGATATATTTGGACAGCTTTGTTTTTGATGATTGAGGTGGGAAGGCCCAGCCTTGGTTGTGTAAGAAAGCAGTCTGATCAAGCCGTGGGAGCAAGTCAGTAAGCAGCACCCCTGCATGGCCTCTGCATCAGCTCCTGTCTCCAGGATCCTGCCACTGCTCCTTTCAGTGACAGATTGTGATGTGGAAGTTGTGTGATGAAACAAACCCTTTTCTCCCCTAAGTTGCTTTTGGTCAGTGTTTTATCACAACTGAGAAGCAAGTGAGGATGTGGGAGAGGGTTTCCCCCAAATCCATGTAGCAGTGTTCTCGCTCAAACTGGACTCCACAAGAGGGAAACCTAAAGCCGTTGTGGTTGAATAGAAGGCTCAGAGGACGAGGAGTCTGGTTAAAGTTGTCAAGAGAAAGCTTTTGTGACCACCAGTGACAGATACAGTGCCCAGAGCCTGTATTTTCCTGTGTCACATGGAGGCTGTCCAGTTTCTCACTGGTAGAAACATGGGACTTGTGTGGGGCTGGAGAGCCTCCGGTGGTGCCATGGCTCCAGAACAGTAACCCTGTGCATCAGTGCTGGGAAATATTGAGAACTGTGCTGCGGAAAGTTTCTCCTAGCGCTTAGAGTAAATGTTCCAGATAGCCGAGCCATAGCAAGGCTCCTCAGAAAGCACAAGCTGGAGAAAAATCAAGCCCCGCAGATGCGTAAAAATAGATATGGGTCAGGCAGGAATATGGAGATGAGCACTCCGTAGGCTGTGAAGCTGGTACACTGTGTTTTGTTTTGTTCTGTTCTGTTTTCTCAGCTACAACTTTCACCCCCTGGCAATAAAATCGCAAGAATGAGTTGCAAGAGAGAGAGAGAGAGGAGCTAGGTAAAGAAATGCACTGAAGTCAAGGCTGAGGCTGCTCCAAGCACACACTGACAGCCTTGCTGTGCTTATGGGATCAAAGATGGCTGAGCTGGGGGAGAAGAGAGAGGGCAGATGGGTGAGGGGTGTATAATCTGCTGGCTTCCAGAAAGGCAGTTTCTCTGCAACAAAGGGCTGGCTCTGGGGACTGGCCCAGCGCCTGTTGTTCAGCCTTTGAACAATAAGGGCAGTCCACCAAAAAACAAACAAACAAACAAGCAAACCCAACCTCTGAACATGAGTCTGGGGTGATTCTTTATGAAATATCTGGATCCCCCAGAGATGCTTTCCAGGCTCTCCCCCTCTCTCCCCACCTCTCTCTCCCTTCTTCCTTTCCTGCCTCCCACCTCTCAATCCAGACTCAACATCTCTACCATGTGCAAGAAACCTCTCCTAAATTTACAGCTAGACAGCAGAGGGCGAATGAGGGTGGGAGGGTTTGGGCAGATTCTGTGCGCTGGGCATGGAGGTTAAGGAAAAGGGACTGCCCTATGACTTGGGGTTCAGTGGTTGTTTAAAGTACACTAGAGATTACTTTGGATTGTTTTGTGCTTCTTGGCACTTGGCATCTTCTGTAAACTACTTTTGCAGTGGCCATTATCATGATTGCCTATGGAAGCATGAGCAAACAGCCTTAAGAGGATAAAGGAGCCTAAATTCATTGTTTTAAAGGAAGATATCATAAGCATGTCTGTGGGGTAGGAAGATAGGGTGGGGGGGAGGGGAATCCTTAGTGTGTTTCAACTTTCCCTGAACTAAAAGTTTTGAATGAAGAAGAAAGATGTTTCTGTTTGATGAACTAGTTAGCACATACCCCTTTCTCCTGATCGACAGGGGCATCACTGATGGTCATGATCTGAAGGGAAGCTACAGTCTGGTCCCCTTCCTAGCCTCCTGGGTCCCTGGAAGCTGGTCTTGTTTATGCAAAGACCTTCTGTTGGGTGTTAAATTAGAAACCACTTGAGGGCAAAGATCAGGCTTCACATTTGACCCTCTATGTTATTACAATATATAGTAGACAGGAGTGTGTGTGTGTGTGTGTGTGTGTGTTCAGTTAGTGTGAGTTAAATTCCTTAACCATGGAGGGATTGCTTGATGATTCTATTCTCTCTGCTCTGTTTCACTTTTAAATTTTGTTAGTTCACAAGCAAAAGCTAATGCTTCAACTTAAAGTACAAACTCTTTTCTTTAGCTCCTTGGGCTTTACATTTAAAGCATGACTTGTGGGCTGTCTGGCTTTCTGTGATGAGAGACAAAGCTTCGCCTTTTATAAACTTTGACTATGAAGGTTCTGGGAATTGAACTCAGGTTGTCAAGCTTGGTGGCAAGCTCTTTTACATACTAAACCATCTCACCAGTCTCCTCAATGTAACTTAAAACAGAGCATCTGGTTGGAAAGGTCTGTTTTATCTTTTAGACAGGATCTCATTACACTGCTTTGGTTGGCCTCGAACCCATTGGTGGCTATCTTGTTTGTCATCATGGCATTATCTATGAAAAAGAAGCCTCCATAGTGACAACAGAAAAGAACAAGTTGTGGTACTCTCTTTCTTACATGAGAACAAAAAGCTCTTGCAATCAAATTAAATAAGGATTAAAAAATAAAGAATCAAGTGACTACGTGCTACCTCACCCCTGCAGGCCGCCACTGTGAAGTCCACCAGATGATTGGGAACTACATGTGGGATTCCAGAACCAACAAGTCATTCGACATCGGGGTCAATCGAGACAGCCTGATGCCCCTCTGGTGGAATGGGTCAGAGCCCTTGTGGATCACGCTGATGAAGGCCAGGAGGAAGGTCTACATGTATTATTGGCCAGGTGAGTGTGCTGACCTCCAGGCCCCGCTCCTCTTCCAAATCTCAAACACCACAGAATCTGCCCAGGAGAATAAGGTGGAGTCCTTCAAAGACCACATCCCAGTTTCAGACCAGCCTGGTCTACAGAGCTAGTTCCAGGACAACCTCCAAAAGCCACAGAGAAACCCTGTCTCAAAAAACAAAATAAAACAAAACAACAACAAAAAATAAGGGATTTTTACCTAAGAACTATGTTCTAAAGGCACATTAATAATTTTAGGAATTTAAAATTTTTAACTTAAAATTTCCTTAAAGATATATATATGTATATATATACATATATACATATATATGTATATATATATATATTGGTTTTTATGAGACAGGGTTTCTCTGTATTGTTTTGGAGGCTATCGGTCCAGCCTGGCCTCGAACTCACAGAGATCCGCCTGCCTCTGCCTCCCGAGTGCTGGGATTAAAGGCGTGCGCCACCACCACCCAGCAAAGATATATATTTTATATTGAATGGATTCCCTCCTCTATGCCTCGCTACCCCATTACCCCTCCTCTCTCACACTAATCCCCTTTATACACCTAGATAATTTCACTTCTATTTTTATTTGATGTATATACACATGATTTCATGTGACTATAAAAACTAGGGACCACAGATGAAATGAAGCTTGGTCTTTGTCTTTCGGAGGCTGGCTTGCTTTGCTGAATATGATTGTCCCCAGTTGCATCCATTTTACCACAGACAACATAAAAGCCACCATGGATGCGTATGCTGCATTTTCCTTACTGCCTCTGTTGTTGCACACCCACGCTGGTTGCATAACTTAGCTGCTGTGAATCATGTTGCAGGGAACTGGTGTGCGAGTGCTTCTGGGATAAGACTTAGAAGCCTTTGAATAAGCAGTTGGAATGGTGCAACTCTGCCATGCAGTAGCTCTAGTTCTAGCTTGTTGAGAAGCTGCCGTACTTATTTCCATGGGGGACTAAACTAGCTTACATTCCCACCAACAGAGCACAAGGATTTGACTCTTTTATTTATATCTGTGCAAGCATTTGTGGTTGTTGTTGTTTGCTTTCTTAGTGACTGTTATTCTGACTGGGGTATGATGGAATCTCAATGTATTTATTTATATATCAATGCTACTTAATGAGGCTGATTTTTCATATATTTGAATTTCTTCTTTTCTGAACTATCTGTTCATTTCACTACCCTATTTATTAACTGATTTGCTTGTTTCCTTATTGCTTTTTTTTTAGTTCTTTGTATATTCTAGATAGTAATCCTCTACCAGATGACAAATGTTTTCTATGGGCACATCTTAAAAATTCCATTCTTGAGCTCTATAATATCAGCAGGTACAGTGTCATTTCCTAGTTCCCTTGCTCTAGTGTCACATGCTTGAATTTCATGTGCAATGTTTTCAATGTGGAAAAGAAATCAACTTTAGTTTGCTCATTGACTTTTACAAAGGAGCTGAATATCATGTCTACACACTTTTTTTAAAAGAGTGTTTTTATTTATTTGAGAATTTCATCCAATATATTTTGAATTTCTGTGCATGTTTAATTTTCCCCGCAGCATTGACAATAGAAAATCAAAGCACACACAACTGTTTGGAAATGAATTTCATGACACCTCTTAACTGTTGACTCCTTTTATACACTTAGGTAATTGGGAAGCAAAACTATTTCATTGTAATGAAGTAAATAATGCTGCGACCTGTCTTGGCTACTGTGAAAGCCAGTGGATACTGCCATTCCTGTCCGTTGAATAGCTTTCATTAAGAATGAGGAGATTCAGGGGCAGCCAAAGGCATTTGCCACCAAACTGAAAGAGTTCATTCTCCGGAACCCACATGTTGGAAGGAGAGAACAGACTACAGTGAGTTCTCTACACATGTGCACACACACATACACACACACACACACACACACACACACACACACTAAATATAGGTAATATGAGTGTATTCAATACTGAAAATGCTGTGGATTTGTTTTTTCAGTAGGTGATGTGCAATGTGTCTTTTCCAGGCACCTGGTTATGGCACTTTCTCCAATGTTATAATACTGATCCTTGTCATGATGGAGCCAGCTATTGGTAAAGGCCTAAAAGAAATGAAGGGATAAATGAGTAGCATCTGGGTGAGAGGTAGAGAAAAGTAGCAGAGACCTCACTGGCTTTGCGCTGGGGGACAGGAAGGTGGGGACAGCTGAGAGAATTGAGAAGGCCCAGTGGATTATGGGAGAGGGCTGCTGACAGGCATGGGGGAGAGTGGGGAGAAGGATGAGTCATCCAGAGCTGAGTCACACATGGCCTGCACTGAGGCTGTGGGCTGGAGGATGCTGTCTGGAGGTGGCCACATGGAGAGATACACAGATCTCTGCAGATCTCAAAGGATCTCAGAACACAGGCAGCCCCACTGCCAAGCTGTGCCAGAATCCTGAAAGTTGTCACAGAGCAGGGACAAACATTCACAGGTAGGCTCACAAAGGACAGCACACACAGTGTTAAGTCCAAATTGGGCAGAAGGACTTATTCTACCAACAGGGATAGGTTCGGAGTGACACCAGGGGTTCTGTGCATAAACCTTCAGTCACCTAGACTGACATGAGATGCTTTGCATCAAGGGAAGGAGAATCAGTTACGTTTGACATCTCTGTGACCAAATATATCTGACAGAAATTACTTTAGACAGCAAGGGTTTAGTTTTACTCCTGGTTTCAAAGGTTAAAGGGCATAGTCACTTGGCACCATGCACTTGAATAGAATAGTTCATGGAGCCTGTGGCAGAGAGCAGCCATTCACATCACTGTGGACGAGGGAACAGACAGCAAGACTCAAAGACCTACTCCTAGTCATCTACTACTGTCAGCTACGTCCTATCTCCAAAGGTTCTGCAGCATCAACAAATAGTGCCACAGGGACAAGCATCCAAAGCACGAATCTATGAGGAGCATTTGTGACCCAAACCATAACATTAAAGCTTAGGGGCACTCCTTTATCTGAAATAGAGACCCAAGTGGGACCGTGAAGCCAGTTGCTATACTAAAAAGTGTGGGTCAATGTAGGAAGACTTGTCTAAAGGGTCAAGTTCAGATTTATGCTGGTTATGGTGAGATCTAAATCAGAAAGAAGATGTTGCTGTACATTAAGATCACATCAAGAAACATTATTATCAATAAATACAAGAGGTTGCATCTGTAGGCACGGGAGGACTATGAATGCTACATGGTATTGTCACAATACCATGCAGCTCTGTTCATGGTGTTAGGTATAACCATATAAGCCTGTATTATGGCAAGGTGGGAGAAAATACGGAGAGGGGAAATGGTAATATTCCAAAGCTCTTGCTGTTGCCTTACAGAGCATTGTTTTTATTTCACCTGGAAGAATTTACATATCACTGAATATGTGATGAATCTCAAAGGTAATTTCCCTGTACAATATCTCATTGCTCCCCCAGAACAACTCTTTTGGGGTAAGAAGAGGCCATCACTCCTTTCAAACTATAGCTCGGCAGCTAATAGTCATGGTAAAACTGTCTGATTAGCAGTTGGGGAGTGAATAATGAGAAGAAAAGAGGCTAGATGGGGCTTCCCTCTGTGGCCTACATGGTGGTTAGCCAAAGATCTGGATTGAAGTCTTCATACAAATTAGATGAAAAGTTCTATTTCTTAGACATTGTCAGGTCCTTCAAAGCTGAACACCCTGCTGACGTTCTTCTGAATGTAGACTGTCCACCTCAGGCTGCAATGTCCCAGTCCACTTCATTCCTGTCAATAAAGGGCCAAGGGAGTCATGGTCACTGTTGTCCATTCTTTCTCCTCCCTGGTGCCGTCCAGCCTCAGACAGTGACCTAACAAGTGCTCATTTGTCTCTACAAGATGAAGTGAAGTGCCGTTCGTGTCTTCTAAACATGCCTGGATTTTATTTTTCTTCTTCCATGTTCTGTTTCCTTTTCCACTCCCGATGGGACACTGTACAGACTTCTTGGTGAGGCCTGGGCAGTCTTCACTGCTTTGGCGATCTGTGTTATGACACTTTGAGTCTTGCCGTTAAGTCAATATTTAGACATATAACTTAGAAATGGCAGTAGTTCAAGTCTTCCTGTCAGGTACATAAAGCAACTGGGTGAAAAATTGAGCAGCGGGGAAGAGTCCACCTTCCCTCAGTCCAAATCCTAAGACATTTAATATTTATCAATGGAGCTTTCAAAGCCCTGCCCACTGGTCCCACTGGTGCCATTGAGTTATACAGGGGAAACCATGCTCAGGAAATAGTTCCAGGCTGAAATAAGCCAGGAATAGTACAACCTGTGCTCCAAAAATGTTAAGAACTAATTACATGTTGATCACAACCTTTATTTTTTATGACAAGGAGATTTTATTTTGAAAAGGAATCTTCGATTGATATTGCTGAACAACCCAAGGGTAGATGGTTGTCCTGAGCAAGGAGTTCGGAAATTGGAGTAGGTGAAAAGATTTTATATGGGAAGAACATTTTAGCTCTTCATATTGCCAATCTGTCCTACATGGTGGGAGCAGATTTTAAGTTTATTCTATAGTTGTCTACTAAGGATTGGCATTCAGGTTCTGTGTCCTTTCCTTTTGAATTTTACTATGTTAATTTTCAACAGCCTGCTGCCAAGAAGACTTGAACAAAACCACCCATTTATCCTAGGATGATGTTGGGTGTGCCTTGGCTCAACACCACCACCTCTTCCTATTCTGTGTAGGTATTTAGACCAGTAAATACTTTCCATGTAGAAAACTACACGTGGCTACCATCCTTCTCTCCCTCCCTTTCTTGACAAAGGCTGGAGGTGGCTATTTACTCAGCTCATATCTAGTTTGGGCAGTTATAGTCACAGTGATTCCATCTGAATCAGCAAGTAGAACATACTAGATATTGGTCAAGAGTTATGGATCATCTATAGTACCTTCCTCTATCCTATCATGGTGCGACCTTGACACCTTTCTATCAAGTTGACCTTAGATGTATGC